GGGTACGTACCGGAACGTAGGTTACGGTAACGTACGTTACTACGTACTACCGAACGTACGAGTAGTAGTACCGTACGTACCGGTACGTACTACGTAACTTTACTAACAACTAATATATATATATATATATATATATATATATATATCCAGAATGGTTACGACGATCCTCAATCCGAATCTGGTGATTCTGATCCGGATCACCGAATTTTCAAACACTAATATATATATATATATATATATAGAGAGAGAGAGAGAGAGAGAAAAAAGAAAACACTTAAGAATACTCATGACTAAACTTCTACAATACTTCCCTCATAACTCATCACCGTCCAAAGTCCATTAGATGGTTATGATTGTCTAATACTGTTTGAATTTTAATAATTTTTCATGTAATGGATTGACCTCAAATTTTGTGGATGAGTGCGACTTAGTGAGGCACATCTAAATAAAATATTAAAAAAATAATTCCGATAATAAAAAGGACCAAATTACCCCTATGAATATTTCAAGGATTTTTATCATTTTATTTCTTGATTGTTTATTTTGTGCAAGATGTTTAGATGTATGCACACCCCAAATTTTATATAATTATTTGTAAAAAAAATAAAATTCAAATTCAAATGCTATTGAATAATCATGGACATCTGATGGGCTTTAGATGATAATGAGCTATAAGTGAGGTACTGTAGAAATTCACTCATGAGCGTTTGTAAGTGTCATCCATATATATAACTACCCAAATGTAGTGCTTATTGGAACCACTTAACTGAGATAAATATGCGTGCCCGAAAAACAAGAGGAAGTGATCTTTGGGGATCCATCAACTCCCTCAACAGTCTTCTTATTAAAAGAGGCATATCTCGTATCCGCTGCATGCCAAAAAGAAAGAACAAAAAGAATAAAACTATTAGAAAAATATATTTAAATTTAAGCAATAATTAGGGAAACCTGCTGAATGGCATCGACCTAATAAACATCTTATATTAATACAACAACCGGTAGAGAATATTTTCCTGGACATAATTCATGAATGGATACAACTGATAAAGAAGTCTGTTCTTGACAATTACGTTACTTTAAGTTACTAAACACATACACGAGCATCAAAGGCAGAAAACATGTGTTACATGCAGAACAATAGACTGATGCTAAATGTTATGAAGAGAAACTTTATAATAAAATACATAAGATGTATGCATCCTTCTGATTCCTTAAAATCAAATTAAAAAGTGAATCAACATGGTAGGTATTATTTGCACATGCATATGTTAGCGAGTGCATATACCCCCCTCACAGATGCATGCCACAGTAAAATGAAACACAGAAAATGAACTCTGATTTAGAAAACAGTGTTTCCATTTTGCAAAAAGGTTAGAAATAAGAGAGAATTATTGTTAGTCTAGAAGTCATCAGGGGAACTCACAACTTTAATTTTAAAAAGCAAAGTATAGTTTTTGGTTTTTATTTAGAGCTAGGGAACCAGATGTGGCATTTATTACATCAAATCCCCCATGATGGGGCAGTAGACACAAGCTCAATAATTTCAGGCTGCAGAATTTTGAACCATATCAAAGGTTGGGTTTCTCAATTTTAGGAAACTGGTCAGATATCTGTCTCTTTTTGGGCTGGTAGACCAAATTGCATATCAACAAAAAGAGAAAGCTTTCCATAAATTCAACTTCTTTCATGGAACCATGGGACTTAGTGGACCAAAAGATTAGAACAAAGCACCTTGGAGATGTACTTGCTGAACAGTGAGTTAATTAAAGGCAAACTAGTATGCACTATGATAATCACCAAAGCAGCCCATATTGCTGTAATCTAAATTTTCATTCAAGAAGAAAACACACTCAAAGGAACCCCATTACTTTGTTTATATTCCTATTTGAAAGCTTCGTATTCATTCAAATACTATGGACTTGTTTCTGATGGCAAATAAAATTGGCTAGCCCCATCCTAGGACCTTAATTGGATAAAACATCAGATGAGAGGCAAGCTTTTAAATAGACAAAGGAATGTAAAAACACTATTGAAAGAAACATTTAAGAATTAGATATAATAAGACTTTTTACTTACCTGAAGGAGACTAACAGAGTCTCCACCAAATAAACGGTTATATCTTTGAACATCTTCTAGAACCTGACTTACTTGAGGTTCGTGGCGTTGACGAGTTGTGGACTCAGAAGGTATCAACAAAGTCACAACTCGACGACATATAGGACACTTGCATGGCTGGAGTGCAGAGGTATGACGCCATACTCGAAGAATACAGTCTCCTGCAAGATGTGACATTGCCCAATAGATTATAGCAATTCAACTTATGCAACTCAATTCATTAAATACACTGGCTCATCGAGTCAACAAGAAACACATGAATCAATTTAACTTGCAGTTTGCAGGGGATGTATTTTGCTTGCAATGGTCACACTTTATTTGTAATTAAAAAAGTTAAGTTATTAATACCTATTCATTTGTAATCATAAGGTTAAAATATCTCTTTGAGATAGGAAAAAGGAAAACTTTGTCCCCTTTGTATATGCTTGTTCAGCTAATTCAATAGCTTTTTCATTGCTTTTCGAAATGGTATATATTCTGCAAGGAGCAACCAATTCCATTTCTTTTGAATGGCTGGGGATGCAATGAAATAGGAAGGGCTCTATGATTGGGCTAACTTCTATTGGTTGATTGATTATCATCATGTAAATGTGCAGGGAGGTTCTCTCTCTCTCTCTCTCTCTGCTC